GATGTGAGGGTTTATGCACGAGAAGGAATAGAGGCTGTCTCTTATACACATCTAGATGTGTATAAGAGACAGCTCTCTCTCTCTCTCTCTCTCCTCCCTCTTCGTTTCGCGCACGCGCGCGCGCGCGCGCTCTCTCCGCCCTGCCTATTCCTCACCCTCTTTCCCCTCTAATCCCCCCTGCCACAATCTAACGCCATACAAACAAAGACGGAGAGACGAGAGAAGAGAAGATATTGGTTCAAGCGAGGGAATATCCTCCATCCAGGTGCGAAGAATAAACTCACTTGTGACGCCGCAGTGCCCGCAAGGTCCGCTCTTTCCCATGTTCTACCCTGCTCGATCGGATCAGAGGTCCGGGCACTCCCGATGCAGACTGAACTGTGTCGCTCCTCCTACTTGTAATATAAGTTCGAACTCTTCGTCGCCTGCGTCGTTTCCTCCTGCAGCGGGTCTCTTCGGACGTCCACCAGCACGGCAAGCAGCCTCGCACCCCCGCTTCACTTTTGGTGATTGATTACCACAAGCCTCGCCCACCTACACACTCCCCACACCCCTTTTTCCATAACCGATTGGGTCTCGAAGCGCTCTCCGACACTAAAAAATAGCACTTCCACAACTCGTTGGGTGCCATATGAGTCGCACAACCTTCCGTACGACCACCCCCTTCTCTGCCTGTCTGCTAACGAATAATTGTCCCGCACCTATGTACATATATATAGATATAGATATATCCTTTGCGCGCCTCCTTCACAGAGGCAAACAACACGCGCTCAATACGCGCGCAAATCACCACGATCGCCCTCTCCTCTCCTCTCCTCTCAACCTTGTTTTGGATAAATAGCAGAAGAGACAAAGGCGGATACACATTAGTATGAAAGTCGCCCTTCCTCGCTCAACAACTGCCAGAGCCAGCCCCCGCTCTCCATACACCCCGCCCCCCCAACACACTTCTCCCAGACCCACCTCTCTCTAACCGTTTCACCGAATAGGTGAACAGAAATCTCATTCACCCCGCGCCCCCTCACCTGTCAACTCCACACACAGACACGTTTGTTTCCTCCACTGCCCC